TTTAAAGGTCAATTGTACGTTGCTACATCTAGAGTTAGACATCTCAAAGGTCTAAAAATTTGGATCCGTGGTGACTCTAAAATTGTAATTCAATTACTATTGTAGTTTACTAAGTTCTTAAAAATTTGTAATATTAAATACTATGTACTAAATTTTTAATATAGTTTAAGATTTGTAGTAATCACCCACCTTAAATATTATTTTAATTGTAAATATATTTATGTTCATAATTTTATCATAGGAATTCACACATAATAATTATTAAATAACAAAAATTTTATATATGAATAAACCTCATATAGGGTATATTTTTATAACATATTTTCCGTGCATCGCACGGACAAATACTAGTTTCAAATAATATCACATAATCCAATTTCCTCAAAATTATGTAATCCACATATCATTTTGATGGGCCAAGACCAAGTCAAACCGGCTAATTAGGCAACCCAATTCATCCAAGCAGCCTAGTCCGTCTCAATTAAATATTCCACCAACTTGGGCCGAATAATCCAATATTCAATTACATTTAATTAAGTAATCAGACCAATTAATTATTTATTGAGTCATTTAATTAACCCAATTAAATAAATATTAGTCCAATTAGCATAATTAAAGTAATTAATTTAATGATCAATTATCCACCACGGTCCAACAATATTATTTAAATTTTTCAATGCTTACAAAGATTACAGTGTATGATTCCTATTCAATTATGTGTTTGTTTCCCTTTATGAGGGAATGGTATTTTTAACTTTTTTTCATTAATGGTCCAATGAATTTTGATGGGGATGTTGCAAGTATGAATATAAACACATTTGTGGTGGTTTAATGATGAAAAATTAGGTGGTATTCTAGATTTCTAGTTACGATTTCGACTATTTATTGGATGTGTATATAGAAGTATTTTTCAGAAGTTGTATTATCATTATACAGCTCTAGCAAAGGAGGGCGAAATAATCTTCTGAAAATTAGGGAGGGTGGTCTGTATTTAATTGGTGGTCTAGGTGTGTGCATCGGTGGAAGAAGGTGTGTGCATCTGTGGTGGTTTAATGGTGCCCAAAATATGCACACGTCATGAAATCAAAAGTAAATAAAAAATCAAGATCACATATCATGCGCATGCCGAAATATTTGACTATCATGCACACGCCCAGATGAAGAAACGCACACACCCAAAAACTCAAACATGTTGCCCCCACATCCCATCAAAGTACTATCAGATTTTGCACACACCCACCTACATAAACGCAACTACCATCACAGTAATAAATTTTTTAAAAAATACACGACATGGTGTAAAGTTCCACTGCCCGAAATATGCACACGCCATGAAATCAAAAGTAAAGAAAAAATTAGAATCACATGCCATGCAAACGCCAATATGAAGAAACGCACACATTATCCTACACACTCAAACATGTACCAATTCACAACAACTCCAAGCACTCTAAGATTTTGCACACGCACACCTACATAAATGCAACTACCATCACACCACTAATTATTACGGAGTATTTTTTTTTTAACACGGCATGAATAAACATGCACACACCATAACAACATCATGCATAGACTTTCAATTACCATTTTTCTATGGCTTTACAAATGTTTCCCCCCACGTTACAAAAAAAAAAAAAAAAAAAAAAAAAAAAAAAAAAAAAAACCAAACAAGTTCATGCACAAGCCCAAACAAATACATGCATACACCAACAATCAAATTAGGCAAATGTTTTCCACCCAAAATAAATGCAATTCAGCGGTGGTCTAATTCTCTAATCAAAAAGATATATTGATTATTACCATTCATATTTAGTCTATTAGTATGCTAATTATTACATTATTACTCTAACCAAAAATAACCACACTAACACAATTACTCTTTTCTCCTTATGCTTAAAATCTATCCTTAATTATTTGATATAACTATTTCAATCTCATCCATCAATTTTAAATGAGTTAATGGTTGTAATGTGACCTCATGATCTCATTTTTAATAGGGACCTCATGGAAACCAAAGCCTATATATATATATATATATATATATATATATATATATATATATATATATATATATAATCTATACATAATCTTTAAATGTATATATTTCTATATATATTGCATATAAAATAGTTTTAATATTAAAGTAACATATCATCAAATGAGAATAAGGAAATGAAAGTTGTGGTGGTATAATGGTAAGAATCTTTATATTTCAAAGGAAAGGTTTAGGATTTAAAACTCAATATAACCAATTTAATTTTTTCATACATATATAGATTATTAAACCTTTTTCCTACTTAAATAATTTAAAATTTTCGGGTATCACAAGTAGCTTGTGTGTTCTTATCAACCCCAAGACTTCCCTCAAATGGTCCCAATGTTTCTCTAGTTCTGAGCTATAAACCAAGATATCATAAAAAAAGACCAATACAAATCTTCTCAACAGGGGTTTAAAGACATGATTCATCAGGGCTTGGAAGGTTGCTGGGGCATTGGTAAGGCCAAAAGGCATGACCCTAAACTCATAGAATCCTTGATGAGTCTTAAAGGCAGTTTTGTACTCTTCACCTTCCCTCATTCTCACCTGATGGTAGCCTGCCCTCAAGTCCAGCTTAGAGAAATATTTAGATCCAGCTAGTTTCAGAGAAAAGGTCCTTTACCACTGGAATGGGGTACTTATTCTTCACAGTGATGTTGTTTAAAGCCCTATAATAAATACAAAATCTCCAAGTGTTGTCTTCCTTTGGTACTAACAGAACAGGAGATGCAAAAGGTGACACACTTTCAGCAATAACTCCAGTTTCCAACATTTCCTCCACCATGTTTTCTATCACATTCTTTTGGTCAAAAGAATATCTGTAAGGCTTTATGTTTACTAGTTGTGCTCTTGGTATAAGAGGAATTGAGTGATCATAAGCTCTTCTTGGGGGTAAGTATTTTGGTTCCTCAAACAACTCCTTGAATTCTTCCAAGAGTGTAGATAATTCCTTAAATTCTGCCTGAATTGCCAGCTTGTAACACATGCTGATCTTGCCTTCATTTTTAATACTGTCTACCCCCTCACAATGTACAAGGAATCCTTGTACTCCACACTTTTGCCTGCTTTTAAGGTCCTTCTTAGTGGCTTCCTTTAAACTGTTGGTTTTTCTTATTAATCCCCTCAGCAACATTCTCATTCCTTCCTTATGAAATGAAATACCCAAAGGCCTGGTGTGAAGCTAGATGGGAGCAAACTGGTCTATCCAGTCCATTCCAAGCACCATATCACATCCTCCTAGCTTTAACAATCTGAAGTCCTTTTCAAAGACTTCCTTGTAGATCTGCCATCTCATACTCTTGCAGATAGTGTCACACCTCATCTGTTCTCCATTGGCTACAGTGACCATGAGTGCTTGAGTATTCTCTGGTTCCATTCTCAGCTGAGTAAGAAGTTTGGGATCCAAGAAGCTATGAGTGATCCCATTGTCAACAAGGATAACCACTGGCTGTTTGTCTATGGATCCAAGTAATTTAATGGTGTTCATCCCCTCCCTTCCCATCATGTCATAGAGAGACACTTCAGCCTGTTCCTTAGTTTCCAAGCTCCCTTGTTCCTGCTCTTCAACCATCAACTCATTCTGGTGCATCATGGAATTCTCCCTCCTCAATAACATGGAGATCGAGTAGACCCCCTACATCTGCGCCCAGGTTGCCAGGGCTCAAAACACCTGAAACACTTATTCTGCTCTCTTAGCTGGGACTTAAGCTTGGCTCCTTCAGGCCCCTTGGCAGTACTACTCAGGCTATGGGAGGCTGTGGAACCTTGTGAAGTGGTAGGTTTGGAACTGGAATTATATGGTTTGGGTGAGGGTAGGGTCATTATAGGTTTGGTGTTATAGTGGAAGGTAGGCTTAGGTTGTTCACTAGATTGCAATCCTTTTTCAAAAATTCCTTAGCAAACCACATTGCATCTGCTAATGTTTTAGGCTGAATAGTTTTCACAAAACACCTGAGATTAGGCTTAAGTCTGGCCATGTAAGCTTCTAGGAAGTATAGATCAATGAGAGTGGGATGTTTCTGGATAAGTTGGCTTCTAAATTCTTCAAACTTATCTGTGAAGTCTAGGACTCCTCCCACCTGCCTGAAATTGGTAAATTCCTCCATAACAGCCCCACTATCTTCCCCAAATCTCCTACACACAGCCTTTGCAAAGTGTGACCATAGGAAGGTTCCTTTTATTCCTATCAAATATGCTTCAAACCACATGCCTACTCTACAAGTCAAGTTGACATAGAGTACATGCATCACTTCAATTTTAGGAATATGTGACATGAGAAGGAATATCACATCGATTAATCCACAATCGCGGCTGATCATAATCGAAAGGAGGAAAATCATACTGATACCTCATCATAGGGAGTCTGTTGTGCGTCTACGAGGTGCAACAAGCTGGACAGGAGCAAATTGATTGGATCCTTCCAGTTCTACCTCGCTTTCTGACTCATCATCACCGGCTAGATGTATAGGAATTGCCGGAGCTTTCCCCGCCCTTCACGTATGTGGAATCTGGCCTTGCTGTGAACAGGCCAGGGGTTCCTGTCTTGCACCATTAACAGAAGATCCACCAGGAATGCAGTTCATGAGTGGTGGTGGTGGACGATTATATTTAGCCGGATCGTCTCAACAATCTCGTTCTTCAAATCACTCGTCTTGCTATCCATCTGAGCAACTAGTTTTTTAACCAGTTCCTGCGTAGTCTTCTTTTGAGCATCTACTTAGAGGCTCAAATCAACTACCACTAGATCCAACTGATTCAATCGTGTTTCTATGTGAGGGCTCTGATACCAGATATGATGTTTCTAAGGTATTAGAAGGTTTAGAGAAGAGAGAAGAAGAGAAGATTGAGAGAGATAGAGGAGAGAATTTTGAAATTGCATTAGGAATGTTCAATGATCTGTACAAGCCATTAACTGTCTTTTATTAAAATTTAGTCAACTAACAAAATTCAACAGCTTAAACAATGTTGTTGGCTACTTCACTAACCGTAGCTTAACCACTTCATCAGAAGACACCGTTTGGTTTAGGCTCAACGATCAACTAACTATGCTCATGTGACGTCGTCTGATCTTTTTCTTCTTCCTTCTGCCTGGTCAGCCTCTGGAATCATTACAGAAAGTTAATTAGTAATATAAATTATCACATATACACGAAATCTCAGCTTCTGAGTCTAGGAATAAAAAGAATTTGGGTGACTAAAATTTCCTAAAACTTTGGTATTATCAAAATCTAAATTACACTTTTTCCTAATAGTTGCTACTGGGTGTCACGCCCCTGTCTCTCGGCCTGGAGACCGCTGGCAGCGTCATGATTGTTTTTATCCCGAGAAACAGCACCATTCCCACCAAGAAAGAACAAGGTTTCTTCACGTATTCTGACAACTGGCTCGATGTTCTGATACAGGTTTACAATGGAGCGAGTTAGACAAAAACCCAGATAGCAATGCGAGATTCTATTACTGCCATCGAATTAGACAGACATTTGACGATTAATCAAACGGAAGACCAAATTAGATAGGATTTTCTTAGTTGAGGACTTAATTAGACAAAAAAAAATATATATATATGAAGGCCAAATCAATATTTTAGATCTCTCTTTCAAAAAGGAATCCGCCGTAGCTGAATGCGTTTACACTTGCACAGTAGCATTCTCAGCCTTCTCAGGTCTCAATTCTAATTTTCCATAGGTTGACCTCCTTCCATCCATACCCGCTTTGCGATCATTCGGGTCCAATGGCTGAGATCAAAACACTAGAAGTTTCTCGCCCCTCACGCTTTTATTTATTTATCCGCCCATGTTTAGCTACTTTTCTCTCTGTGCACTATCTGCTTACCAAAGGTTTGACTCTTCATCACTTCATTGCAGCTTTGATTCTTTTTCTTTGGTTTTATTCGTTTCATTATCGTATTTTTTGGCGGTTTTCTGCTAAAATAAATAAAAAATCAAACCTGTATTGTGTTACTCTTTCAATAATTTGCTACTGATCCTGAGCTCATTAAAGTTTTTTAGATGGTTTTTGAAGACCAAAAAACATGAATATAATTTTTCACAAATGGAAGTAGTAATTTTTCAATGATTTTTATTACTGTAAATTTAGTTTTTTCGTGAAATTCAATAATATTTATTAAAAAATTAAAAAGTCATACAAGTGCCCACTGTGCGCCAAGTCATGCAAGGTTTGTTTATTATTTTTTTCTTTTTTCATGTCAGATTTTTTTTTTTTTTTCCTTCTATTTTTTCTCTTTTCAATTTGGTATTGTAAAAATTATAAATGCTCTAAACAGGTCTGGCCCTAAACAAGACTGCAAGAGTAGGCTAGAGGTCTAGACCCTTGCGAGCCTATACTTGAAAGGGCCACCCACCACCTTTTATTATTATTATTATTATTATTATTATTAATTTATTACCAAAATGGTCCCTCAACTATTGTAAAATTATCAATTTGGTCCTCAATTATTTTTCTTACCCAATTAAGTCATTGACTTTGAAAATGTTAACCATTTTGGTTCTCTGTTAAAATTCTATCCATAAGCTGTTAAATTTAAGGACAAAATTGTAATTTTATATATCTTATTTATTAAATCAACTCTAGAGCTTTCACCTGATCAAAAATGTCGGGATTTGACCGGATCTTTAATCCTTACAATAAGCTGGCTTCGCAGCCGGCGGGATGGACGAAAGGGACTGCCGACGAAAGCATTCACACGGCAAGCGGTTGAAACAGATATAGTCCACCATTCTTGTGGTCCACCATCTCTGCTGCTGCGGTTGAAACAGAGGTGGTAGAAAGCAGAGGGTCATTTGTGATCAAGGATATTGATGTTCATTTCATATTCAATCATCAAACCATTGATGATATCAGAGTCATAAGTGAATTAGATTTGCCTTAGGAAGCCAAAGATCATGACTTTCCATCACTTTCTGACAAAAGAAATGCTCACTTTCCTCTTTTGCTGATCAACGAAAAGGTTTTCAGCGTCAGAAAAAGGAAGAAGAAGAAGATTCAAAGTTACCATGTAAATGAGAACACACATCTTTCGGAAAAAGAAGCTTCTACCTCTACTAGAGGAAAAAGTGACAGTGAGAACATCTGGGCTCAATACTTCAACAGGATCTTTCTCACTTATTCAAGTGAAAAAAATGAGAGATTTTACGGTATTGGGAGCAATTTTCTCAGCTGGACTTCAAAGGAAAAAGAGTACCCATTTTTGCCGCTTGCCATCTCCGCCGTCCACAGACAAGATGGAATCGTTGAGCCGATCTATTGCCGTCTCCGCCGTTCAGCAAGTGAAAGCTTCACCAAGAATGGTGGACCACATCTATTTCAACCGCTTGCCGTCTGAATACTTTCGTCGGCGGTCCCTTTCATCCATCCCGCCGGCTGCGAAGCCAGCTTATTGTAAGGATTAAAGATGCGATCAAATCCCGGCGTTTTTATCAGGTGAAAACTCTAGGGTTGGTTTAATAAATAGATATATGAAATTACAATTTTGTCCTTAAATTTAACAGCTTATGGATGGATTTTTAACGGAGGACCAAAATGGTTAACATTTTCAAAGTCGACGACTTAATTAGGTAAGAAAAATTGTTGAGGATCAAATTGGTAATTTAACAATAGTCGAGGGACCATTTTGGTAATAAACTCTTATTATTATTATTATTATTATTATTAGTATTATTATTATTATTATTAGTATAAGTATTTAATATAAATTTATGTTACTAAAATATGAGTTAGCTTAGTTGGTGGGTTTTATGTGTTTATTATTTGCGTGTTAAACAAATTAAAAATTATTAATTCATTCCGATTCTAGTTTTCAACTGAACAAATATAGTTGCTCTTGGTTGTTTCGCACATTTCATAATTGTTTGGGCGTTCGATCATTGTTGTATATACCTGTATGAACTTATTTAAATGGGTGGATTGTGTGTAAGTGCTTGTATAAAAATCTAGTGTGAACTCTTATGATTTCATTAGCTGTAGTCTGTAGGCAATACTGTTGAATATTCAATTTGTATTTAACCTTTATGGATTTATGATTTTTTTTTTTTTTTTGTTAGTTTGATTGGAATTTAATAAAGATATTGTTTCTGTTATTTTGTGTTAACCTCAGATGTTGGGATCTTGATCTAATCATTGTTTAGTTTTGAGTTGTATGTATAGTGGATGGTATTTTTAGGTGTAAATGCAGTTACGGATTTGTTTAAATGTAATGCTGGATTGGAAGTTAATCTGTGTGTGTAATGCAGAATAGCTGCAATGGGCAAGTTCTATCCCACTGTTAGCGAGGAGTACACGAAGGCTATTGATAAATTGAAGAGAAAGCTTAGAGGACTCATTGCTGAGAAGAACTGTGCTCCTCTCATGCTTCGTCTTGCGTAAATATCTGTTCACCTTCTCTAAGTCTCCCTTATCATTTGTGCGAATTCTGTATTGTTTTTGTACATTATTGCAGTGTGTTGATATTGTTGAATTAAATAGTTTGGGTTGATTTTCGTTCATTGCAGATGGCACTCTGCTGGAACTTATGATGTCTCGACCAAGACTGGAGGTCCATTCGGAACCATGAGGCTCAAGGCTGAGCAAGCTCATGGTGCCAATAATGGTCTTGATATTGCAGTGAGGTTGTTGGAGCCATTCAAGGAGCAATTCCCTATTGTCTCTTATGCAGATCTTTATCAGGTACTGCATTGATTTTATTTTCAGTGCTTTTCTATTTCTAAGAGGAGTTATGCTAATGTGAGCCATTACCATGCTTTTAGCTTGCCGGTGTTGTTGCTGTTGAAGTCAGTGGAGGACCTGATGTTCCTTTCCATCCTGGGAGAGAGGTTAGTGGGTGTTTTTTCTCTGTAAATTCAGTTATACTTACCAATGACTACTAGGTAAATAGATTAAGCATATATATATGACATCTTTTTGGTATATCTTGAATGTACAAGTCTAGTTTCCTGCTGGTGCTTGTTCGTTATTTTATTTGCTGTGTAGGTAGACTTGATATCTTTCTTATAAATTAGCTCTTTTATTTAAAGAAGTTGAAATGAACATTTTGTTTGATGTTCAATTCCATTTTTCAGTGTTGTGCAAGTTATTATTGATCATTACTAGAAGTGCATTTTGATGAATTAACATGTGGCCCTTGTTAGTTTCTGATCTTTATAAATTTGTGTTTGTTCATTTCAGGATAAGACAGAGCCCCCAGTTGAAGGTCGTTTTTGTGATGCTACCATGCAAGGTTAGTCTTTTTATGTTCATATCTCTAATTTGTCATAATATAGCCAGGGAATTAGCAAATACACTCTCAAGTTGAGATTTGTTTGCTAATTAATGATATGCCCCTAAGGGATTTGTTTATTGCATGTGTTAATCAGGAAATGATCACCTAAGAGATGTGTTTGTCAAACAAATGGGACTCTCTAAAGAGGATATTGTTGCTCTCTCTGGTGGTCATACCCTGGTAGGGACTTACAACATTATGGCTTTAATTCGTTTTCCATTTGCCCCTGTCATGAACCTAAGCCTAGGGTATGAGAAATTGCATGGGAAAATTGGAATCAAAGAGAAGGGGAAGAACAAGCCTGGGAGGAGAGGAAGGATTTAAAATGGGGAAGTCGAGGGACCAGGACAACATCGTTTGAAGGTTATAACGGAAATAAGGCCACTTAATTGAACGACGCCGTTTTGGGAAGGGTCGTTGGAGCCGTTAGAAATAAACGTTCAAACGACGTCGTGGGGAGCTGACCGTTGAGAGCCGTTGCTAGAAGTGTCATACGACGCCGTTTCGACCTCCTTAGCTGGAATGAAGATAAGACGCGAAGAAGGAGGAAGTTTGTTAGCTGTTTTGGATTTTTCTTTAGCTTAGCATTTATATTTTGATGTCTGAGCAGTAGATTTTTATGCTTATGTTTTGATTGAACTCTCAATTTCTTAAACCCTAATTTCCTCTTTTTCTCAATCCCCTATTTCTTCTTCTTCTTTACCCCAAATTTCTGTGTTGAAATCTACCGGTTGCTACATTTGGTATCAAAGCCCACCATGGGGTCGTCTTCCATAGTTTCAGTCGAAGAGAGGCTGGCCAGGCTAGAAGTGGTAGCTGCTGGGCAACAAACACTGGAAACTTCATTCCAGGAGTTGAAGGCCATATGGTGAGTTGGAAGGATGATATAATGGAGCTGCTCAGGATGAATAGGCCTCCCCCTCCATCCATGGATAACCCCTCAGTGCATGGACAAGCTCAGTCACCCCATCTTAGCCCTGGAGAGGGGAGTGTGGATCCAGGAAGGAGACGGGGCAAGGACCCTGTTATGGATGATCAAGCTGACCCCTTGGACTTGTCTGGGGAGGAGGAAGGGTCTGATGTGGGTCACCTGGAGCAGCAAAGGGATCCCAGACACTTGGGGAGACCAGGGGCTCACAGAAGAGTAAATTTTGAAGCTAGGCCAGGCTTCCACAACACTGGGGGTGAACAACTAATGAGGTACAAGCATGAATTTCCCCCTTTTGACTATGAAAATCCCAGACTATGGGTGGTTAGATGTGAGAGGTTTTTTATGCTGGCTAGAGTCCCTAGGGATGAGATTATGCATCTGCTTTGTGTCAATCTGTCTGGTAAGGTAGCCCTCTGGTATGAGGCCTACCTCAATGGGCTCAGGGAAGGATTTCAGTGGAATGTTTTTGCCCGAGCCCTATGCAAAAGATTTTGTAATTGTAGTGTGGATGTGATGGAGGAGTTCTCTGGTTTTAGGCAATGGGGGAATGTGGTAGATTTCTCTGACAAGTTTGAGGAATACAAGGGACTCTTGCTGCAACAATACCCAACCTTGACTGAGCATTATTTCTTGGATAGCTTTGTGGCTAGACTGAAGCAGCAGCTTAGATGCTTTGTAAGAACCTCCAGGCCTGCCAACCTAGAAGAAGCTATATGGTTGGCTAGGCAGTTTGAGAAGGGGCTAAAAGGGAGTGAACCACACAAAACTAGTGCAACCTACAGCCAGAAAACAACCACCTATAACACCCCTAACCAGTCAACCCAAAGAACCCAACCTAACCCCATAACATATAGCCAACCAAATAAACCCCAACCCAGCCAACATTCCACAAAAACCACAGCCTCCAATAACCCACAAGCCAATACCAGAAACAATGAGGTGAGTAGATTTAGAGATCAGTTGAGGGAGCAAAGCAGGTGTTTCAGGTGTTTTGAATCATGGAGCCCTGGGCACAAGTGCAAGAGTCCCACTTTTAACATCATTGAGGGTGCTGAACTCCAAGAGTCTTAAGAGGAAGGCAGCCTTGAGCATGATTTGAATACTAAACCAGAAGTAAGTGTAGAAGAGGAGGAGGTGGAAGTAACCCTGAATGCAGTAATAGGGGGTGAAGGGCTCAATACAATTAAATTGTTGGGCACCATTGGGAAACAGAAAGTGGTTATTTTGGTTGACAGTGGTAGTACACATAGCTTTGTGGACCCTAGGATCCTTGATCAAGTGGGAATCACTACAGAAAAGGCTGAGTTGCTTATGGTGACAGTGGCAAATGGAGCTAAAATGGCTTGTGAATCAGTGTGTAAGGGGTTGAGGTGGCAGGTACAGGAAGAGTGCTTTGAGAAGGACTTAAAAGTCCTTAGGCTAGGAGGATGTGACATAGTCTTGGGAATGGACTGGATTGATACCTTTGCTCCAATCCAGCTTCACACCAGGCCACCTGGGATAGCCTTTCATAAGGAAGGCAAGAGAGTGTCACTTAAGGGAATGACTAAGGGTATCCACTTGCAGCAGGCATCTAAGAAAGAAGTAAGGAAGTGGAGAAAGGAGGGAGTGCAAGGGTATTTCCTGCAAGGGCAAAGTTGTGGCCTTAACACCTCACAAATGATTGAAACTCCACACCCTGAACTCACTTCCATATTGAAGGAGTTCCAGGAATTGTTCATGGAACCAAAAAACCTTCCCCCTTCCAGAATGTTTGATCATGAGATACCCCTAATCCCTGGATCCAGACCTGTCAATTCTAAACCTTATAGGTACTCTTATTTGCAGAAGAATGCCATTGAGAGAATGGTTGAAGAAATGCTTACTGCAGGAATTATCTCTCAAAGCAATTCTCCTTTTGCCTCACCTGTCCTTTTGGTACCAAAGAAAGATAATACATGGAGGTTCTGTGTGGATTATAGGGCCTTGAACAGCATCACCATAAAAAACAAGTTTCCCATACCTCTGATTGAAGATCTATTCTCAGAATTAGCAATTGCCAGGGTTTTCACTAAGCTGGACCTTAGAGCTGGTTATCATCAAGTAAGAATGAAGCAAGGGGAAGAGTATAAAAC